AAAGGGCCAGTGCTGGGTCTTTGTTATCTCTGAATAGCTCTGTGTGGCTTTTATTAGAAAGCAAAGATGTCACTTTCAGTATTAAGGTGTGCCTGACCCAAGGCACGGTCTTTTCAATTGTTTCACATGCATGTGAAAGCTGGACAGTGAAAAAGGAAGATTGAAGGAGAATTGACACATTTGATTTATGGTGTTGGCAAAGACTGCTGAGAATACTATGGACCGCCAAAATAATGAACAAATACATCTTGAAAGAAGTACAAGTAGATTGATCTTTAAAAGTCAGGATAGCAAGATTTTGTCTTGTTTACTTTGGACGTGCCATCAGGAAAGACCAATCACCAGAAAAGGAGGTAATGTTTGGAAAAGCAGTGGGTCAGTGAAAATGAGAGAGACCCTCCATGCTATGCAATGATGGGCTTAAACATAACAATGATTGTGAGGATGATGCAGGAGTGGACTTCATGTTATACATGAAGTCGCCGTAAGTTGGAGCCAGCTCAACTGCTACTAGCAACAATGACCGCATTGCCATGTGAACTTAAATAAGTTTCCAAAATCTCTGTGTCTCAGTTTCTTCACCTGTAAAATGGGCAAATGATAGAACTTATTTTATAAGGTTTTTTGAGGATTAAATGAGTTGATGCATGAAAGGTGCTCAGTACAGAGCTTGGCGTGAAGTTGGTGCTCAGTCAATGATCATCAGCTATTGTTACCCAGACTAACCTCATTGCCATCAGAAAAGATTAAAAATAAGACAAAGAGGATGGGACTAACTTGTTCAAGGCCATATGAGCCGTTATGGCAGGAGCTGCAAGCAGCCCCCAAGGCCTGGATTCCTGGTCCACCCTGAGCAGGAATAACACATCCTCTCCCCTTTGTTGGAAGCCTCAGTTGTTCGTGAGTCTAGTTCCGGCTCTCTGCCTCTCATCTTACAACTACATTCTTGTTGTTAGGTGTCATCGAGCAGGTTCCAACTTGTAGCAACCCCACGTCCAACAGAACAAGACCATCCTTGCCGAGGTCTGTGGGTCTCTGGAGGGAGAGGTGGCGTCGGAGAGATGATGGAGACACACTTACACAAGATGAAGACTTGCCCCACATAATGAGGTGGCCTTCTTTATTTTATACTATATTGCAGGTTACAAATGACAAAGCAAAATGACAAACTCACAATTCTGGGTACATGGCTGTGGGCTATCAACTTTCCAAAACTTATAAAACTATTATTAAATGTATAAACTAAACTTATATCTTATCTTATCTAACTTATCTATCATTAACATTATAAAAATAAAATGTGCTA